AGCCAGCAAAGCTGGCTGAGGAATTCTGGGAGTTGAAGTCCACAAGTCTTAAAGTTGCCAAGGTTGAAGACCCCTGCTTTGAGTATGTGGGACACTCCCCTTGTAGCTGTTTGCAACTTCTTAAAGCAGCTATATCTCTTCCAAGGATCATGAAGGCCTCCTTCCACCCCGTCTTGCAATTCTGTGAAAAAGCTCATTTTGATTTAAAGAGCAACATAAGCACTCATGCACTCTCCAAACCACCATGTTTCTCTCAGATCCAAAGCTCTAATAAGGGCCCTCTTGGGTCTTTCAATGGACATGAAGATTTAGAAGGAGGACATCAAAAGACAGAAGTTGATCAACGATTCCTCTTTACCCGTTATGAAACCAATGGTGGAAGTATCACAACAGCTAAGCTCAGGTTCTCCCCACGTCACCATGGTAACTCGGAAGTTATAGTACCAGGCGGGCAGCAGGTTGTCTATTTTCTAAAAAGGAGACAAAGAGACAGAATCAGTGAGATCTACAACTGGTGTCGTCATCTTAATGGGCCATAGGTTGCCAGGTACTGTTCTAAAAATGGCAAGAGTCCCTGCATGTAGGGAGAGAGGTGATAACAGTTGGATCAGCATTACCTCTAGATATTATTTCTTCTCTTTCCCTTGTAAGTAACAGATTTTTTTTTAAACTAAGACGCTTCTTAAAATACAATGCACAAATTTAGAAAGCCTGGCCTGATGTGTTCTGTGTTGGCAGAGAATTCTGGGAATTGCACATGTAATGTAGCTGCTAGGACACCAGACTATGGAAAGCTAGCTGAGAAAACTCATGTTTCACATGGTGCTGGAAACTTCACAAAGCAGGAACCAGCCAAGTCTCTTTGAGGAAAAATCATACATGCTTCACTTGGGACCTTACCCAGAAAAGGCATCTGAGGTTGATCTCACGATCCATGGCGACATGTGCTAGGAAAGACAATCCATAATCCTAGCTCAAATTCATGGGAGCAGCAGAAGTTATTATTTTCTGCAATTTCCCATATAGAATAACAAAGTATGGAGGCCCATCCCCTCAATAACATTAAAGAATGTCTTAAACCTCATCAAATGTCAGGAGATTGGATGACTTCGCCTCTTTGATCCCGTGTGATATTTCATTCTCATCTGAGATATTAAGAAATATTTAATATAATGCCTGCTCATACTTTCTCAATTGTATAAGCAATCATGAAAGATTTCAGCCAGTTTATATATTTTTCTCTTTAATTTGCATGGTCACTAAACACCATCTTGAATGCCCTAGTCCAGGGGTAGGCAACCTTGGCTCTTTTATGACTCGTGGACTTCAACTCCCAGAATTCCTGAGCCAGCATGGCTGGCTCGGGAATTCTGGGAGTTGAAGTTCACAAGTCATAAAAGAACCAAGGTTGCCTACCCCTGCCCTTGTCTTACACTCATATATTGCTAATCACTGCTTTTGGATAGCCCTTATAAATTGTTTTTTTCTGTCAGCAATTATATGAGTAAGAATTTTACTGGATTATTTCTACCCATTGTTATATGTAGTAGAACATATTAGTTAGTGGGGTCTTTATTTGAATTGTAGGCTGAATTCACTTTACCACTGAAGAAGTGAGCGAGACGGTTGCTGCTATTTCGTAGTGTGTTGTCCACTCGGAAGTCATTGTTGATGGATTGAAATAAAACATTTCTACGATGTATTTCCGAAAGACACCAAGGTAAGGCCTGTTCCAGCTGAGGACCACAGCTGTGGGTCCCAGAGGATAAAGAGTTAAATCTTTAATCCCAGTTGGCACTGTAAAACAGAAATGGAAAGCTGTTGTACATAGAGAAATTGTCACATATTCCAAATAAGATCTGGAAGTCCTAGACTTTTCCAACTTGATGAGTTGAATTTTTTCCCCCATCATGCCAATTCAGCTCAGCCATCATTCAGAATTTCTTGAAGGCACTGAGTTGTGAAGAATTATCTTACTTTTAATTTTGTTGTATTTATGTTTTACCTTTCCTAAAAGAACACATGATAATATATATGAGAGACTGTCTCCCTTCATCTTTGACTTACAACCGCAATTACCACCAGAATCTCTGTTACTAAGCAAGGTGGTTGTTATTCTTTTCAGTGCCATTGTAACTTTGTAGAGCTTCTACAACAATAGTTGTAAATTCTCAAAAATGTGAAATAAATTCAATCAAGAAAACCAATGGCTATGTTTACACCACATTCTTAAGTAGTCCAAAATCAACCGGCTGCAGTTTTATAAGATGCACTGCTTAGCTAGCTTTGTTAACTTAGAGGCCAGGGGTAGGGAACCTTGGCTCTTTTATGACTTGTGGACTTCAACTCCCAGAATTCCTGAGTCAGCATGGCTGGTTCAGGAATTCTGGGTATTGAAGTCCACAAGTCATAAAAAAGCCAAGGTTCCCTACCCCTGACTTAGACTAACAACCTTGATTAGTTTTTTTTTTGAAACTAAGCATATTGTAATCTCAGACTATTTATTTAGTTCAAAATTCACTGCCTTGTATTGACCAAGATATCTAATTAACACAATAACATGATTGTGTTGTGCCTTCAAAGTCAATGAATTCCTTCCATAACATGGCTCCTAGACATTAAAATTGGCTTCCAAATTGCAAAAACAACAACATAAACATGTGTACACAGACATTACCAATAGCAAATGTAACAGGATCAGAAGGAGGCCCAACTAGTGGTCCTTTCTGTAAGTAAATTACAACTTGGTACTGAGCCCCAGGAACAAGGTTTTCTATAAAACTGCTGCTTGTATTCACCTAGAAAAACAAGAAAGTGTAGATATTAGGACAAGGTTTAAATCACTGCTATGTGTTGAACAGAAACTAGTATTGCTTTAAGAGAGCAAAGAGAAAGAGCAAAAAAGTTGCTGGAGTGGAAAGAGGGAGGTTACTGATATAGTACAAAAACTGTGCTAAATGCACCTCAACAGTTCCTAAATCCTCTGCAGAAGATGCTTCAGTTTTATCTCATTCTCAGGATGCTTGAGAAATTCTTTCAAATTTCTAGATGGTGATTTTGAGCTAATCCAGATCATCACCTTCAATTGTCACAGGACAGTCTGTATCCATGATCATTTTCTATAGCCTTCTTGCTTTGGTAGGTCTCCCTCAGTGTAGTAACATGAGGAGAATGAATGAATGAATGAATGAATGAATGAATGAATGAATGAATGACTGACTGACTGACTGACTGAATCAACCAACCAACCAACCAACCAACCAATCAATGGAAGTCCTACGTGCAAAACAGCAATTGTATTTTTCCATAAAGTACAACCATAAGCATATTTATTTCTTTGAGGTTTGTCTTATAACTGAGAAATTATATAAACATTATATAACATCAATGGTCTGGGACTTTTTCCCGGACCCATTTAAAAGGAACAGTCAAGAGTTAGAAGTGTTCAGTGAGAAACAATAGCACAGTGGAATTTATCAGGCAATGCTCGTAAGGAAAGACCCTGGTTTTCTTCTAGAGAGGGATTGTTGAAGATCTCTCCTTAGTGAGAACATGGAACAGGTGTCAGCGTTCTTGGTGGTCCCCCTTCCTGCTTATTTTTTTTCTAAAGAAGTTAAAAATATTTTACTCCCTTCCTCCCTCCCTCCCTCCCTCCCTCCCTTCCTTCCCACCCTAAGGCAGGATATAAACACAGGTGATAAATAATTAAAATAAATTTAGGACAATACTTAAGCAGAAGAAGGGAGATCAAATTAAGAACAGGGGGGAGATGCATTTTTCAGTTAAAAAAATAACTATAATAGTATAATTAACTGCCCATCTTACCATTCACTGCTAAACCAGAATTGTAAAGAATTCTGGATTAACTAGAAATGAGTGATCTATAAGGACCTATTGATCAATGGCTCCCACTTGCTCTTCCTATCAGTGGGGGCAGCTAAATAAAGCTGGATAGATTTGGCACAGGACCAAAGATTTTATAGCTATTCTTATAATTAAACATAATTGAAGGCTATGTGTTGTTCCTGGCTCCTAATTCCAGCTTGTTTGGAGAAAAATAAGCCAGAGTTCCTTGTTTACATATAAAACTAAACAAAATATGGATAGGGCCATCTGGACTTGTTTAGATACTCCAACTGGCAGAAGGCAAATGAGAGAAACAGAACAGCACACTGCTTTCTCCTACCCAATTCCATTGTGAAGACTTTTGCGTTGTGCAGATTTTGTGCGTATTTGCTATGTGGAATTGTGCCAAATAACACCTGGTGAAAACACCATTACTTGCATGCCTATTTTAAGTACACGAACTAGCCCCTTTTTTAAAATTTGACCACTTTAACTGCTGCCCTTGAAACCTAGTCAGATTCTCTTTGTGGAGAGATGTTGCTGGTTGAAGTGGCTGCAGGTCAGATTCCAAAGAAGGAAGGAATGAAATCTGTCAAAATAAAAGCCACTGACAATGTTGTATTGAATAATTCTGGGTATCTACATAGAAAAGCCCCTTCCCATATCAGCTGTGGAGGGCATGGGGAGCAGCAGGAGGAGTAAGCCATGGTGGAGATACCCACTACAGGTTACCTTTGCTGAGCAAGTTTTGTAGCCCTTCAAACTCCCTCCCTCCCTCCTTAATATTGAGAAAGGTACCACCTATACCAGGGGTGTCAAACTGCCGGCCCACGGACCGGATGTGTCATGGCAAAACCACGCCCACCCCATTGCCAGCAATGGGAAAAAAGTCGCGATATGTCATGACACATCACGTGATGTTGCGAGTTTGACAACCTTGACCTATACTATACCTGTGCATTTGGTTTTTCTTGCTTAAATGTAGAACCTTACTTTTTTCACCATTGAATTTCATTTTATTAGATAGCTCCCAGTGTTCAAGTCTGTCAAGATTCTTCTGCATCTTAAGCCTATCTTCTGGAGTGTTGGCTATTCCTGCCAGCTTGGTGTCATCTGCAAATTTGATGAGTTCCCCATCTATCCCCTCATCCAAATCATTGATGAAGATGTCGGAGAGCACTGGGCCCAGAACAGAGCCCTGGGGCACCCTACTACACACTTCCCTCCATGTAGATGTAGTTCCATTGAGGAACACATGCTGAGTACGGCCAGTCAGCCAGCTACGAATCCATCTGGTGGTGATGCTGTCTAACCCATATTTTTCTATCTTATCAAATAGTAGGTTGTGGTCTACTTTATCAAACACCTTACTAAAGTCCAAGTAAATTATATCCACAGCATTCCTCTGATCCACTAATTTTGTCACCAGGTCAAAGAATGCAATAAGATTTGTCTGGCATGATCTGTTGTTGCCTTTTGGTAATGACTTTGTTTGCCTCTAGGTGTTCACTGATTCATTGCTTGATTATCTTTTCCAGAATCTTCCCAGGTATTGAGGTCAGACTGATAGGTCTGTAGTTTCCTGGATCCATTTTTTTTCCTTTTTTGAAGATGGGAACTACATCAGCTCTTTTTCAGTCTTCTGGTAGTTCCCCAGTGCTCCAGGATCTTTGAAAGATACAGTTCAGTGGTTCTGAGATCACATCTGCCAGTTCCTTGAGAACCTTGGGGTGTAATCCATTTGGTCTGGTGATTTGAACTCATCTAGGGTGGACAGGTGCTCACTTACCATTTTCTTGCCTATCTTAACGTGTTTATAATCTGTTTTTTTACAGTACTGTTTTTGATAGGTTGGACTGTTTTTTCCCTTTTGTGTAAAGATGGATGCAAAAAACGAGTTAAATAGTTCTGCTTTCTCCCTGTTGCTTGTCATCTTCTTGCCATTTTCTCCCAGTAATGGACCAATCATTTCCTTAATTTGTTTTCTTTTTCTTTTTGCATGTTGAAAGAAGCTTTTTTTATTTTTGACTTTTGTCGCAAGACTTAGTTCATTTTGAGTCTTAGTTTTCCTCACTTCATCTTTGTAGGCTCAGGCTATTTGCTGATATTCTGCCTTAGTTATGTGCCCCTCTTTCCACTTTTTATACTTGTCCTTTTTGTCTTTCAGTTTATCAGAGAGTTCTTTATGCAGCCATGCTGGTTTCTTTTGAGAGCTGTTATTTTTATTCTTCGTTGGTATTGTGCTAGACTGGGCTTCTATAATCTCACTTTTCAAAATTTTCCCAGGCTTCTTGAGTTGTTTTCCCCATGAGGATTCCCATCCATGGAGTCCTTCCCAAGCCCTCTCTAAGTTTGTTGAAATTAGCTCTCTTAAAGTCCAAGACTCTAGTTTGACTGTGTTCTATTGCTTGTGCTTGCACAATGTTGAATTCTAATATTGCATGATCACTCTCCCCCACGGTTCCTGTGGCTTCAACATCTTCTATCATTTCATCTCTGTTAGTGAGAATTAGGTCCAATATGGCTGATTCCCTAGTTCTCTTCTCTACTTTTGTGGGAGACAAAGTTGTCTGCTAGGTTTGTCAGGAATCTGTTTGATCTTCCACTTGGTGCAGAGTTTGTCTCCCAGTTGATGTCAGGGTAATTAAAGTTCCCCATTACTATCGTGATGTGCTTCCTACATACCTTAGTTAGCTGACTAGCAAAAAGTTCATCTATTTCCTCTGTTTGTTTGGGTGGCCTATATAGTATACACCTATGGCAATGTCATTTCCCCCCCCCCTTTTATATTGACCCAAATGCATGTTATTTGTATAACCCTAGAAAACTATGCAGAGGATGTGTATACCTAACTTTGTATGTATTAATAATAGTAACAATTGTATTTGTTCAATGTTGAGAAAATGAAAACACTATGGGAAAAAGAAAAGATCAGGGGAAAAACACTGGATTGTGTAGCATTGAATAGATTTATTTTGAAGAAATTAAGATGCAATATTGAGTAACAAACGGACCTGGACATCACGTTGTTTACCAAGCACTTATGATTTGTAATAATAGAAAATGAATACAACACATTAAAAAAAAGTACAGATACTGAAATCAACAAAACAAGTTAACCATGCTTGATTTAAGCTGCTTTAAGTTGAAAAAGGCCCCTCTGAGGCTGATGAAATCTGCACCCAGAGGGATATCAGCAAGGTGAGAAAAGGAATGTGTGCCTTTTACCTCTGTGCAATAATGTTTCTCCAGCCTTTGGCTCTCCTTCTGCTTCTGACACGTCAAGGAAACAATTGACACAATGGTATTGTTGCTCCCAGCAGTCTCCTGAGAAGTTGTCCAAGACAGAGAGGCTGTGGTGGAACTCAGCACCGTCACCACAACATCCTGAGGCTTTTCTGTCAGCCCTTCTATCAATTCTCCTGTAGGACCTAAAATATCACCAAAAGCCAGAAAAGGTGGTGGTCACCGTTAATACTTGTGCTTCTCTCTGGCTGAAATAACATTAGTTGCTTCCAGACACAGCATACCAAAAATGGTGACACAGAGGTGACCCATGGAGGTCTGGAGTGAGAGAAAGAACTACGGCATCCGTCCCAGATAATGTTAATCAACTACGCTACTCAATAAGTCTTGCTCTGTGGAGTCCTAAAGTAAGACATTTCCCCAGCATGCTTAACAAAACCGGTTAAAATTTCCCAGCATTTACATGTGAAACGTTATTACAGGTAGTCCTCAATTTACAACAGTTGGTTCAGTGACAGTTCAAAGTTACAATGGCACTGAGAAAAGTGACTTATGATCATTTTCACACATACAACTGTTGCAGCATCCCCATGGTCATGTGATCAAAATTCAGACGCTTGGCAACGGACTCATATTTATGACGGTTGCAGTGTCCCGGGGTCATATAATCATCTTTTGCAACCTTCTGACAAGCAAAATCAATGGGGAAGCCAGATTCACTTAACGACCATGTGACTAACTTAACAACTGCAGGTTGTAAAATGGGGCAAAATTCACTTAACAACTGTCCTGCTTAACAACCGAAATTTTGGCCTCTATTGTGGTCGTAAGCCAAGGACTACCTGTTCTTTTAACCTTGGTTTTGTTTGACGATTTGGACTTAAGGTGTTACATAAACCAAGTCTTTTTGATTAGTTTTTGGTTCAATGTATTATATAAACTAAAAAAACCTGGTCAACTCAGTAATAAGATGCCCATGGGCAGATGCAAACACGCCCACGGGCAGATGCTGCAGCCCTTCGCAATGTATATCTCCTGTTCCTTCTCAGAGCAAGTCATACGGGGTGTTTTAGTATAATAAGCCACTTCAGAGAGTGGTGGCTGGTTTGGGAGAGGAACTGAGATGACAGCAGATGGCAGACAAGCTCCAATTTGCCACTTCTCCTGCCCTGCCAGCCAAAGCAACTGCATCACTCTGAACGGAGGTAGAAGATCATTTCTCTGTGATTTTTTTAATGAGACAGCCATCAGAATGTGAATCCTCTAGCTGAGCAGAAAGGATGGGGATGTGTGTTTTTGTGTGTGTTTGTATGTACAAGAAAGAGGAGGATATATAAAGATAAAACCAGAAACTTTCCTTTTGGGTTTAATGGAAAGAGATGGGGAAAAAATGGAACTTTGATGTTATATAGGTTGACGGCAGAAAGATTACTTTTTGCATAAAAGTGGAAGGACATTTTGATTCCCTTAATGGATGAACGGCTAGAAAAGTTGATGGAGTTAGCAGAGATAGCTAAATTGACTGTTTTGATTAAAGAAAAAAAATCCTTTTTTTTCTACTTGGAAACCGGTCCTGGACTTTGTGCTTGAGGTGGAAAAAAAAATGAAACTTTGATTTTTGGTTTTACCGATTCGATAGGTTTGTTGTTATAGAAATGGTTATTTTATAGTACTATGTAAAAGTAAAAAGTCAAGGTTTGATGTTATTATCATATTCTACTGGACCAAAGGGAGTCAGAAGTCAACAACTTTTTTTCTTTTTTTCCCCTTATTCCTACAGTTTTCCATTTTCTTCTCCCTCCCTTATTTTCCTACAATTTTCTTTTCTATTTTTGTATTTTATATTATAAACTAATAAAGAAAAGAAAGAGGGGGATATAATAGGGAAGGAGAGGCTGATAGGTAGAAAGAGGGGACAGTTCTTTCAGAGATGGATCTGAATAAAATAGAACCTCAAGAGGGTTGATCCAATGCTGTCCTGTATGATTACTTTTTAGTACTTATTCTTTACTTGCAAAGATAGCAAATATTGTAAAACTGCAATACATCACCAGTGTTCTCTCATGCAAAAGAAGTTGTATCAGGATTATTTATGGCTCAGGTAGATGGCAGCATGGGATGGAAATTAATAAATACCCAACACAAGCAGATAAAATAGAAAAAATATTTATCACCGATGAAGCGGAACATTAACTAGCTATAGGTTATTTTTATTAGTGATTTATAGTGTATTGCAGCAGCAGCCAACCATTGCTATACCAATAAATCATAATGAAGAGACACTTTATCTTGCCACGAAGATAGCTGGATGAAGCTATAAGATGCTGTAAATCACTAGTGAGAAAAAGACTACAATTTTTTACAACTATCCATATATATATCATACGAATATCTTAACTTACTAATATAAAAGCGAAGGGTTTGGGTAGATTGGCTTTCCCGTGCTTCACATGATCCAGAGGAGCTGAATGTTGTAACCGACAATGTATATTTTCCTGGTTCTTTCAGATCAGTGACAAATTCGTGAATGTCTTCTGGAACTGTCAGGAATTCTGTGACGTTCTCTAAATCAAGATAGGAGATGATATATGAGAATCAACTGCAATTACAAGATTCTGGCAAAAAAAATCTAATCTAAATGCTTAAGAGTATTATTTTGCTGTCTTTTTACTTTTAGGACATCCCTCCAAGAGTTAGGAATGGTTGTGGCCAAGAGAGAGGAGCAAATTCCCTTGAATAAGTTATCAAGCAATCCATTCAAACTAGCATAAAACTGAAAACAATAGGACAATCTGAAGAAGGCATTTTCCAATTGTGGTCCAATTGTTTTCAAGGTAAAAGCAGGAAAAAAGAGTGACTACACTCCAATATATTAAAAAAAAAAATGACATTACTTTAAAATATGATATACTTATGTCTGGATACCATCCAGGTCAAAATACATTTTAAAATGTTTTACATTGAATTATACTTTTGAGGGAAACAATGAATCTCTTACATAAGAAAAATAAATCAAACTAAGGCAATAGTCAAGTAAAACTTAGTTATGTATCAAAAGAAGCTAATTTTGGGCATCCTTAATCAAGCTATTCTTAAAGCAAAATCCAATTATGTGGAAAGAAAGTCTCCACCTATGTATCTTTTAACAAACATAGTTTGATAGGTACAGTTTAGAACTGTACTGTATGTGGTGTTAAGCTCCGAGGACCAGCGTTCTAAATTACGTTTTTGTAATGTTACCTTCTCTCTTAATACGAACATGGAAGCCATCAAATGCTGTGGGTGGCTTTGGAGGTAACCAGCTCAATACCATTTGCACTGGAAGGAACGATGGAGGTCCTAAAGTAGGTTTTTCAAGTTCTACAGTTGGGATGAGGTTCTCATAATCCCTTGGAACTGCGTTAACAAACTCATTCTCATCCTCGGATTCATTAGTCCACCAATCTGGCTGAGATGTGCTTTCATAATCACTGCTGTTGGCATGATAATCAGGCCAAATATAGGAAGCGTTCACTGTTGGAAGCTCAGACAACTCATCCAACACTGGAGTAACTTTTTCCTGCCCCATGGCATTTTGTGTCTCCAAGAAGATTTGTTCTGGGGAATTCCCACTGTGCTCTTCTTCCCAGTTCTCACGGCTACTCTTGCGTACAATTTGTACAGAAACGTTTCGCGGTGGATAGGGAACTGAAAAAGACCAGAAGGCATATTTAAAACATTCACTTGCTGCCCTAAGTTTGTGGGATCAGAAGGGAGCATTGCAGAAGGGATGCATCGCTTTAAGAAGATGGTCAGCTACCATCAAACTGAGGCAGTGATTTTCATAAGCAATTTAAGAATTAATTTGAATTTGTCCTCTGGATATTTTTCTACAGGTGCATGCCAGTACAACCTGCCCCTTTCTGCATATGGGATGGAACTAAATGCAGCAACTTTTCCAGAAGTTTCTCAGAACTCTTAAGAAAACTAAGGGGAGACTTGTATAATCCAAATCCCTTTATGCATCATCATCATCATCATCATCATAATAATGAGGAGGAGGAGGAGGAGGAGGAGGAGGAGGAGGAGGAGGAGGAGNAGAAGAAGAAGAAGAAGAAGAAGAAGAAGAAGAAGAAGAAGAAGAAGAAGAAGAAGAAGAAGAAGAAGAAGAAGAAGAAGAAGAAGAAGAAGAAGAAGAAGAAGAAGAAGAAGAAGAAGAAGAAGAAGAAGAAGAAGAAGAAGATAACAAAATACAAAGACCTACAAATAGAAATCGAAAAACCGTGGCAAAAGCAAGCAAGGGTAGTACCAATAGTAATAGGCGCCTTGGGTGCAATCCCAAAACAACTGGAGCACCACTTGAACACCATTGACAAATTCGCCATTAGTCAATTGCAAAAGGCGGCCTTACTAGGAACCGCCTCCATCCTGCGACAATATCTGTAATACCATCAAACATCCACATCTGCCTATCCCAGGTCCTTGGTAAGGACTCAATAGGTAGACAAAATGCCAAATCCAGGCTGACTGTGCGATGATCCATAACAATAACAATAACAACAACAACAATAATAATGGAAATAATAATAATAATAATAGTAGTAGTAATAATAATAATAATAATAATAATAATAATAATAATAATAATAATGGAAATGCATCACCTAAAAAAGGATATAGTTTTCATAAGAGTTGCATAGGATTAAATCTATGAAGAGGTACAACTTCAGAAAGATTTTCTAGAGTCTTTGTAAAACCATCCCATAAAATTAAAATCTCAGCTTCCTTTCTATGTGCCATTTCGTCAGCCCATTCTACTGTATAATTTACAGGATGGACAAAGTTTGGGTAATGGAGGGCTGTACTTCATTTTTTGAGCTGAGTTCAGGGCTTCAGTAGACAGCAAAAGTAGGCAAAGAGGATGAGGGCATATCAAGTGCAAGACCAGGGCAGAGATTTTCTCATTTTTCTGGTTGTGTGGCTGTGTTACACCTATACTATAGTACAATTGTACAATAATACAATTCCCTTGCAATGGCATTTTTTTTTGTAAGTTCCATCAGAAAAGGTTTCAGGATGCTCCCCAAACAAAGTGGTGGTGGTGGTCAAGAGGTACTTTTGGCCCTAAGACCATCAATTTCTGACAGCATCTAAAGCAGCATTTCTCAACATTGGCAACCTGAAGATGTGTGGACTTCAACGCCCAGAATTATCTAGGCAGCACGCAAGAAAATTCTGCCTAGACAAAAGTTCAGAGAAACCAAAGCCTGCTCAGATGATATATGCATAGCAACCTTTCTGCATCTCCTGTCTCCTAGGTCAGAGGTCCCCAACCTTTTGGGCACTGGGGACCGGTTCCGTGGAGAGAGGTTTTTCCGCGGACCGGAGGGTGCATGGTTTTGTGTGCTGCCTGCAACTTGCGAATGAGGTTTTGCTTGTTTGTGCAGATCGGTTGCTGGCATGCCACGGCCCAGTACTGGTGCACGGATGGGGGGTTGGGGACCCCTGTCCTAGATGGCTTGGATTATAATTCCCAGAATTCCTAGATGCTGGCTATGAACTCTGAGAAATATAGTTCAAACCATATAGAAGGAGCCAGACTAGGAAAGCTGACCTAAAAATTCTGATAAAGAATGTTGAAATAATGATAAACTTTTAAAGAACATTCTTGCCTACCTTGAAAATGAAAATGTTAATATTGGAGCTTTATTTATGTCCTGTGTAATCTTAAAACAGGTTGGACATTTACTCAAATTTATTTTTGATAAGATAGCTCTATTCTATTCTGTTTTGTTCTACATTTTGTTTTATTCTATATTCTGTTCTATTCTGTTCTGTTATATTCTATATTTTCTCCTATTCTCTTCTCCTCTCCTCTAATTCAATTCAATTCAATTCAATTCAATTCTATTCTATTCTATTCTATTCTATTCTATTCTATTCTACAGCTTTTATTGTTCAAGGCATAAACTGATGAAGAGTTGGGAACTAAAGAAAGGAAATGAGGATAGAATTGCATCATTTGTCACCTCCTTATCACATTATGTAAAATTGGTCCAGAGAGCATGATCAAGGGGTACTTTGTCTTCCTTGAAGTATGTCCTTGGTGAGATGGTTGCTAAAATTGAATCATCTCTCCCAGACTGACTACTGGGAGATGTTCTTGTCAGAAAGTACAGTGTAACAGTTAGCAGGCAGGAAATAGATCAAATGATTCCTGAATTTGTATTGCCCATGGAGAGAAGAAACCTGCTGCTGCATCTGTGGGCTAACAGCCTGTCTGACAGCCTTTTGAAAAGGGCCAGGTCAGGAAACAGACCTGACATGAAATACCTAGAACCCTACTTTGTTGGTTGGTTGAATTTGTTTTAAAGAGAAGAGAAAACAGGAGATTTTCTTGAAGATCTTGATTAGCAATTAATACCTGATCTGCATTAGGCTGGGGAAAATAATCTAGTAATCATAGATACACAAACTCACATTACCTGTCCGATGCTGCTTAGGTTCGTGCTCAACCCCACTGTATTCCACCAGCGTGGTTTTATTGAATGTCGCTTCCGATACCAGCTGAAATGTGATATTGCTGTAACATATTCCAGGCAGCCAGTGATTGAAAACCGTTTTGCCTTTAAAGAAATCTGTGGAGCGGTAAATAAATGCTACATATTAAATTAGCTCATTCAAATTCACAGTCCTGAGGTGGACTGTTTGTCACTGTCATGAAGATTTAAAGAAGAATGTAAACTTATTAGTAACATTTGAATCTCTTATGCTCTTATTCGGTCTCTCTTTTTCTGGTTGTCATAAGCCCTTAGAACAGTGGTTCTCAACCTGTGGGTCGGGACCCCATTTGGGGTCGATCGACCATTTCATGGGGGTCGCCAAGCAAGGCTGTCCGCCATTTTTTTTGTCCGCCATTTTTTCCCCTTTTCCGGCGGGTGCCTTACCTCCCTTGGGCTGGGCCCGCTGGTGGTCGGCCTGCTCCGTCTCTGCCGCTTGCCAGCTACGCCTCGGCCGGCGCAGGGGGCAGAACCACGCATGCGCGGCGCTCCCGGGCAGGGAAAGTCCTCGACTTATGACCGGTTGGGTAGTCCTCGACTTATGACCGGCTTAGTCCTCGACTTACAACCGGCTTAGTCCTCGACTTACGACCGGTTGGGGTCGCGGCATTAAAAAGGTTGAGAACCACTGCCTTAGAAGCTCAAGCCAAAGAAACAAACTTGAAACCTGGCAGTTATTACAACTGGCAACATGAACTGAGCGATAACAAATATTTCAAAGAGGAGATGTTATAATCTTCTTGACATGATCTGCATGAAAGAGGTTCTGAAAGCTAAGGGACAGAGTATAAATAAGCCAAATATGTAAAACCGATTGTCAAGTTACTTCTGTCAGGAAGAGATAAACCTTATGCTTCGGGGGTCTAATTTCTCTTTTGTTTAAAACCCTGAAAACAAGCCAAAACATTTCAAATTACAGAACAGAAAATTCCAACAATATTCCCTATGGGAAAATTCAGTCTTTTCACATAAATGTTCATCCCTAGTTCTGTCCTTCAAGCCTCTTAAATATTATTATTAATAAGTGGGAGACAGGAAGAATTGGCTAACTGGTTGCAAATCAATCAAAAGAAGTATGTATGCATGTATGTATGTGTATGTGTATGTATGTAAGCGTACATGCATTCATTCATTCACTCACTCATTCAATTTTTATAGCTGCCCATCTCAATCAATGGCGGTTTACAGTTCCAAAACTATAAAAATGACTTAATTTTTTTAAAAAAAATTAAAACTGCCAAAATAAATATACACAACAGCCAAGATAGTCACCCAGTTAACAATAAAGCCAAGAAACAAGACCCTTAATTCATTTAGTGCCCCAAAGAGCTTGGAATGCAGCCAAATTTTTAAACCCAAGTTTTTAAGCCGACAGTATAGTATAGTGGTAAAGATGCTGAACGTGGACTAGAAGACCCAAGTTCAAATCCAGGGATACTTACCATCCTGGATTCGAAATTCTGATAACTGGGCGCCCCTCCCCCCACAGCCATGTGAATTTGGGCACTCAGCAACAAGTTCACATTTATGGCCCTTTGCAACATCCCACAGTCACATGACCACAACGCAGAACATTTTTTGCTAGAAACTGGCGTTTCTGGTTTCCAGCAAAAACTCCCATTGCGGACAGTGGATTTACTTAAAGACCATTGTGTTTGCTTTTACAAGTTGTAAAATTGATCACAGTCATGCTTAACAATTGTCATGACTTGCAACCATAATTCTGGGCCCAATTACAGTCATAGGTTGAGGACTACGTATCGTCTGATTTGGGGTTTGAAGATTTTATACCCGTGGTGGCGAACCTATGGCATGCGTGCCGCAGGTGGCACGCAGAGCCCTCTCTGTGGGCATGCGCGCCATTGCCCCAGTCCTAGGCCTTCAGCTGGGTTTTATAAAACCTTTTCGCTTTAGGCCTCCGCCGCCGTGCGCAAAAAAAGGTTCAATTAATTTCCACTTCTTGCGGGAAAAAAAAAGATCTCACAAAGTTGGAATTGATTGATTTAACTTTTTAGTCCCACCCAGTCTGCCGTTACCACGGCAGCCATAGCCACCCAATGGGCCACACCCAGCCAACGGGTCATGCCCACCCGGCACCCGATGATACATAAATGGGTTTTGGGTTGCAGTTTGGACACTCGGTCTCTAAAAGGTTCGCCATCACTGTTTTATACCTTGTCAAAGAATTCCTCCCTCAAAGAATTCGTGCTCTCAAAGATGGTTTTAAAAACCCAATCAATAAATGTAAATGAAAGGGTTGCTCAAACATATCCATAACAAGACACACTCATTCCTCAATTGCTCTGGCATATAATTTGTCTTTATTTTAAGATGTACTTTCCACCTACCTTTATATAACATGGTCCGATACTCTCTTCCTTCCCAGTAACTTATATTCACCCGAGTGAAAACATTATACTTCTCTGGATATTGGATTTCAAACAATACTTCTGTTTCAGGTGATGGTTTATAATCGTAGATGGAAACGCTGGTTACAGGTAGAGGTTCTTTGAAAGAGAGATAAAATGAAAAGAAAAAGAGTCAATTGAGACATCCAGAAAAATGTATTGAAATCCAGTGCCATCTTTACAATGTTTTGAGACTGGCACCACCAGTTGAAGGGGAGGGGGGCGTCTAGGGAGAGTAAACAGACATTCCAGTTTAAAATCTCTTTAGGGGAGATCAATCCCTTAAACCTAAATCTGCCATTTCTCAAGGGAAGAAAGACTGTCCGGTGAGATTCTTATAATGTAGGGATTGTAGGAGAAGGAGTGGCAGGACTTAAAGGGGAGTCAAGCAAGTCATTAGCCTAGAGTCTCTACGTTGTCACAGTCTAAGCCCAACCCCTCTTAAATTCTGTTAACCCTTATCTAGCGCCAAAATAGTGCTAACTTTTAGTTGACTAGACTCCTGTATAGAGGCATGAGCAATAAATCACTTTAATTAGAACTTAACCTGTGGCCCTGGTCTTTTGCACCTGACAGCGATCAACAATAAAATGTCTACTTGGGCCAATCCATGATTGATTCCGGTTGCTTGCACCTGACAGGGACTTATTCTTGCAATAAATAACTAACAATGATGGGTCCTATCAATTAAAGAATGCCATTTTGCATCTTTGGATTTCCCCCAAGATCCTATTGGCTCTGAAGTAGCTCACTTTTCAAAAAGCTTTGAAAACATGGAGGTGTTTGTAGGCTTAGAGGGAATTAGTAGAAGCTTGCGTCGTTGTGGTTGAATTTGTTGTAATGGATTTATTTGAGTTTCCTTCATAGGTTTTTCTAATGCTATTTTATTCCATATCTGGACTGCGTTTTTACACGTTATTCTCTACCTAGATGTGTTATGGAAAGTTAAGTAAATAAACTGTTTTTTTTTCTTGCCTCTTCTCCTCTTTTAAAATACTATCCTATGCGCATAGAAGAACACCATAACCAGAAAGATGGTGTTTATAAATGAACATGCCAGCTTGATTTTGATTTAAAATAACAGCAACAACAGAAGGGGCAGCACATTGAATTTTTTCTCATTTCTCCAGAAATTCTGCTTCAGAGTTATTTCTTCCTGATGTTCACCACATTTTGCAGAACAGGCAGGGAAGTTGGAGTGATGTAGTGGGGAAAAGATATCACATTGCAAATTTGCTCCTAGAGAATAAAATGAGCTTGCAAATGAACAGTTTCCTGAATGGATTTCTGTTTAGGGTGCCTTCTAATGGGTTTTAATTATTTTTATTTATTTTTATCACATTTTTAAACTACCCATCTTCCTCACAGACAGATCCTGGGAGGTATACAATATGATATTAAAATATAAAAATAATATATAAAAGTTAAAAATGTAAAAGAGGCAAGGATGAATAAAACAAGGTTAAAAAATTGGTAATTGAAAGTTGAAGGGAGAGCTTTACCAACCAGCTCCACAACTGCATGCCCCTTTGAGCTCCCCACACAAGCTTGCAGGGACCATATTTTCACTCCTTTCCAAAAGGCAAGAAGGATGGGGGCCTGGGAGAATATTCAACAGGGCTGGGGTAATGGCAAAGATAAGGATTAGGTCAAAGAATTAGGAGTCAACTAGATCCTATACAACTCTTCAATATTTTGTGCAGATTTGTATGTTTAAAGCAAGCTTAGTCCCTGTGACTGAATATAGATTTTCCAGCCGTTCTGTCATGATGGTTGCATTAGCCACATACTGTGTTTTTCTCTCAAAACACATCCATATATATCTACCTGCAGTGTTCAGAGAAGATGTATGTAGATTGTACTTAGCTATAATATGGTTTGAATCCTTTTGAGCTAAACGTTCTCTCTCAGCCCAGCATGCCTGATTGGATTATTATAGCTTTACACCCAATAAAAGGGCCATCTTGAGCTCTTAGAGAAAAGATGAGATATCAACGCAATCAATCAATAGTTAAAGTAGCACACCAATTGAAACAGGAGTTCCCAGCCTGACACCCTCCAGATGGTTATGATTGTAACTCCTAGGATTACACTGGGTGAGAATCCTGGAAGTTGCAAACCTAACACATTTGGAAAATGAGGTTGAGGTACGTTTGCTTATGATCATATTTGCTACAAACCTTCTGCAATCTTTGGCCAGATACTCTCACTAAACCCAACCCTATCTTACAGTGTTTTCTGAGGAGTAAAGATGAATAAGTATTCCTGAGGGGAAAAATATGGGCTGAAGAAGGTTCTGCAAAAAATAGAGTAAATGACTACTGCAGACATGTCAAACACAAGGCCCAGGGGCCGGATGTGGCCCGCGAAGTGGTTTCATGTGGCCCATGAAGCCATCCTGGAAACAGTGAGGGAACAGCCCCCTCTGCCTTGGCCCTGGCCCAGGCTGGCCGGGAGCCAATGTACAATTTTGTGGTGGCCATCTATGCTGAAACACATTCAGTCTTAGCTCCACAAGGCCGTCTAGAAACAGCGAGGAACCAGCCCCTGCCGCATCGCCCCCGCCCCCTGGGTGCATGCTGGGGAGGTGTCACCCTTTGTGAGGAATGAAGAAATGGACCATGCCTTGGCGCTTGCCCCGGTCCACCCCCTTCTGCCAGAGACCCTCAGATCTGTCCTACTCCTGCCCAGGCTCCCACAGGCACCCTTGACGCGAACGATGTAGAGCTGGCCATGCCTACCCAGTAGGCCACACCCACCCTGGTCACACCTACCTGGCCCCCCGAAGGCAACCGCAATGCTGATGCGGCCCTCAATGAAATTACGTTTGACACCCTGGACTACCGCAAAGAATGAAAAGCTGGAAAGATCTGCTCTTTGAATCTGTCTGGGATAAAGGAAAGGACCAGAGATCACCCACAAGTGTTCTAGATAGTTGTTCTTTATGTGGGTTTGAGCACTGGAAGACAAAGGAATAACCATCTTGCTCAAAACTAGCTTTTGGTTGGTGCTTTTGAAAGGACACTAAATTCTCATATTTCCTTTTCTAATCACATTCAGAGATTGCTTAAGAACTACTTTTCTGCTATTAGAAATCTTTCGATCAGCAAGTCTAAAAACATTGGGTGAGTCTTCAATCTGTAATGAAAATAATGTTTAATTACAAGCTTAAGAAATTAATTTTAAAAAAAATAAAGAGCAAAAAAGTTGGTTAAAACTTTTGATTTTAAAAAGATACAAAGGACTAAGGGTCCAGATAAATTTGAAGAAAGATTTTGGAATTGATCATAAAGAAGCCTTCCTATGGGAAAATGCTTTTATTTTGATTTTTTATATAAAAATTAAGATTTAAAAAATTGGACACTAGAGGGAATTTAAAATTTCAGTTAAAGGAGATGAACACATAAATTTGACAGTTACAAAATCTTGCAAAATATACTAAGACTAGAAATATTAAAGGACACATTCAAAAAATTAAGTAAGAAATTGATATTAACAATGACAATAGTGGTATCTGTCTATAGATAGACTATATCTAAAATATGTTATTGAAAAGGAACAAGTTTTACCTGAAAGACAGGCTAAGTTGAAAGTGGACATATAAATGACAGGCTACACAAATGTCATGGAAAAATATGTTACATTAGACATACTGAAATTTTAATCATTAAAAGGGACATACAAACAATAAACCAAGAGAGTGACCTGGATAATTTTTGTATATTGCACTTACAAAAAAGACTTGTAAAAGCTTTAAAGAATCTTGTGAGAAGAGACAAAGAAGGAATGAAAAGAAATCAAGTTCTATGACATTATTTAAATGGACTAAAGATTAAGATTTTTAGAAGTACAAAGAAGGAGTATACAGTTGGTTTATTTGATCAAGGTTAAAATAGGTTATTTCTGGTAACCTTTAATGGACTTTTGCTGATGCCAGGACTGAAGTGACCATGGATTTGTTTATAGAAAACAGATAGGTTATGGGAAGAACAGATATTTTGGGTAATGTAAGAGGAGGTGAAATGTTACTAAAATTGTTTATACTTGTGATGAAGGCTGGGAGTCACTTCTTCATGCAGACATTTTATTTTAGTTTTTAATAGTTTTTACTATCATAATTACATTTTTTAATAAAATTTCTTGGAAAAAAGGAGGAGAATAAGCATCCCTGGAGCCAAGATAGGGTATAAAAGTAATGCAATGTAAGATCTAGGATGCAAGGTAAGTTATAGGATGCAATCTTTGGACAATATCTCCAGGACTAGGTATAAAAGAATTCCTGATTAAAGCCCTTACAAGACAGCCTTGAGATTCCAGAGAAATACTGCTTATCACACACTACTAGCCAAGCAATCTTTCATTACTTTCTGCCTTGTACAGCTTTTGCAAGCTACTCTATAATAATCTCAGTTTTCTAATTATGGCAACTTTATAGACTAAGTGATTACATTAGCTTGTTATTTCTTCCTAGAGGAAATTGAATAAGGAAGAGATGCTGTATTCATTTTTATTACAAATTCATTTCAGTCCTCTTGATCGGATTAGCTGATAATTAGATTCAGCGAAAGGCCTTGTAAATTGTCTCTTTCCTGCCATTTTCCTTCTGAGAGCCAGCAAATCAAGAGGAGTCAAAGGAAGAGGTTCAGAAGGAAGAATAGGTGGAAAATTTAATGTATAAAGGATTTGGTTTGATTAGAACCGGGTCCAAATGGCCTTTTAAAATTCCTCACAGGGACAGAGACAGAGAAAGTTAGTAGACGACTTTTCCAACTTTTTTGACATGAGGAAGGGAGGGAGACCTTCTGAATCAATTTCCCAAGGATGCTTTTTAGAGGAACTCCCTCCAGATGTCTTCCCTGGGTTGATTATAAACATGGGAAGCCAGGGAAGCTATAAACTACTATAGAAAGAAAGGCTTGTACGATGAAAGACAGGACATTCACAGACATTCCTTGTCCACATCATCACCGTACATAAAAAGTTCACAGGTTACCCATGAGGATTAAATAATTTTCCTTCAAGCTGAACAAGGATTAGTAGATCAAAATAGAAATAGCACGTGGATTGTATCAGACTAAAAGATCACTATTCTGATTCAGAATTAGGTAGCCTCCTATGGAACCAGATTCTCTCTCTCTCTCTCTCTCTCTCTCTCTCTCTCTCTCTCTCTCTCTCTCTCTCTCTCTCTCTCTCTCTCTCTCTCACACACACACTATATCATCTATACCTACCTACCTACCTGCCTGTCTGTCTGCCTGTCTGTCTGTCTGTCTGTCTGTCTGTCTGTCTATCTATCTATCTATCTATCTATCTATCTATCTATCTATCTATCTATCTATCTATCTATCTATCTATCTATCTATCTAATACTTGGGGGGGGGGGAGACAAGCAAAATTAGATCTATAAAACCAACAACAGATGGTAGAGATGACATCTGTTGGATGCTGTGCGTGAAATCTCTAACAGGAGACTTGGGTTTCAAGGCTACACTCAAACCATTGTTCTCATATGTTCTGTAATTGTCAGCACACTTCCCACACACCCCCAAAAAGGGAGATAATTCTGATATGTAGCCTTGCAAACATCAATAGAAACTGCTGTGAAATGGCAAAGGGCTGCTTAGGGACCAATTGCTTTATATCACTGTGCATCACTGTTGGTGCCTTTATAGGCTCCCTCCCATAGCAGAATCTAATGATGGCTGGTGGATGGGGCTGGAAAGCAACGTCTGCCTGGATCCGTGTGATGTGCCAGGCATTAGGGCACAGTTGCAGCCCAGTTAGGCATGGACCTTATTAATATGCTCTCGTATGGACTCAATACAATATCCCATTGAGCTTTAACAAACAGGGAGTCATTTGACACAGAACAAGGAAAACAGTAGTTATTTTTCCCCTAATTGCCGCCAGGGTTGTCATGGCAACAAAGATAACTAAAAAATTTCAGCAGTTATAAAAATTGCAGCATTTAAACAGGGAATGTTTGTGAACACTAGCAAGGCTAGTTTCTTTATTCGTGCTTGTCCTTTGTCTTTTTTTTTTGCTTTCTTTTGCCTAGTCCCAACTTTTGAGCCAAGATACATGACTTGCTTAGCCTTGCTGGGCCAATCTATACATGCTTTTAGCAAAATAACTGGCTCTTGAATGTATTTGTTTTTATTTAACGAACAGCAGTTATTTTGCAAATGAGGATGAGGCAGCTGAGGCTTTATTGCATTGCATCCCAACAGCTGTTTGCACCATGGGTGAGATACTTTGATCCACTGTGGGAGGGAAAGCTTAAATGCTCTTGTTCTCTCTCTGCCATGATTCTAATCTGGATAGGCATGTAACAACATCTTTAAGCAACAGGGACAGTTTGGAGGTCTCTCAGTTATATTCAACCAAATCTTTGCTCTCTAGAAAGAAACTTTGAGGGAAAGAAATATAAAGCATTGAAACGGAAGTTAGCTAGTTGGCCTACTGGTTAATGCACTCATTTGTCCCAGTTTAGGCATGAAAGCTGGGTGACTGACTTTAGGCCTAATAACTCTCCCTCAGCCTAAATCACCTCACGGGGTTTTTGTTGTTGGGAAAATAGGAGGAGGAAAACATATTAGAGGTATTCACTACCTTGTGTTATTTAGAATAACGGCAGGATAAAGGCAGGATAAAGGTTACCGTATATACTCGAGTATAAGCCGAGTTTTTCAGGACATTTTTTGTGCTGAAAAATGCCCCCCTCGGCTTATACTCGAGTCAGCGTTTTTCTTTGAAATAAATATTCATGTAATTTTATTGGTATCTATCTTCATTTTTTACATTTACCAGTAGCTGCCTCATTTCCCACCCTAGGCTTATACTCGAGTCAATATTTTTTCCCAGTTCTTTGTGGTAAAATTAGGTGCCTCGGCTTATATTCGGGTCGGCTTATACTCGAGTATATACGGTATTTAGAATAATAAAGGCAGGATAAAAAACACTAAAATGAGTAAAATAGCCTTTTCCCATTTTGAAATTTCACCAGTTTGAAATCTAAGATTTTTGTTTTAAAGGACCATGGTGATGATTAAAAAGAAGCCAGGGTGACTGAGTTACAAGTAAGGCAAGGCTGACAATTTAGGAAATGTTTGGTTTATTGGCAAAAATGTTTATTATTTTAGAACTATCACTAGCCACAGTGGGAAGGTCCAGTGGACGTACTAAATTGTTTCACATCTGAGAAAGATATGGCATCCCTACGGCAGAAAGATACCACATCTAAGTTTCAAACAGATCAAATCAACAATGTTTTAAAAACATACTTACTAGTTAACACAGTTAGTGATCTAGCCGGCTTGGAAATAACATTTGCATTCACCACCATCAGGGTCACTATGTAATAAAGACCATGGTAGGTGGCATTAAAAACCACCGGAGCAGGTAAAGTGCTGTTGAATTCATCAAACTGGAAAAAATAGTTCTTGGATTCGCCGGTGATCTTCACAACATACACCGAGGATGAGCTCACCACGTCAGCTGCTTCCAGGGAAATAACTATGCAGTTGTCATCTCGCACAACCACTTGGAGAGGTGCCACATTCTGGGGGTCAAGAAGAAAAAGGAAATGGTATTAATGAGGATCCTGAACAGGCTGTCACAATGCTCACTATTAAGCATTTAGAAGTCTGGATTGTGTTTCTGAAGGTTTTGAGCTAATGAGGAACTGGGAGAATTTTCTGTAAAAACAAAATCAGATTGGCATGTAAAAGAACGTCACCATGAATTTTGCTGGGGGGGGGATCTGAATTTGTCACAACGTGATAAACACTACAAGGACTGAAATCCAGCTGGTGTTTGCCTTTTCTCAGAAAATTAATACCCAGCTCTCAAAATGTATGAAGTGCTCTGAGCACTGAGGGTTTTTTCTTTATTTCTTTTTCAAATTAATAATGACGCCCAACTTCCAGTCACTCTGGAATGTGATGCTTTCACCCATCATACTGTAGCACATGTTGGGGCAGAGGTTGCTTGTCCTTTGCACTACCGATAGTCCTTGACTTACAACAATTCATCATGTCTCCCCTATTACTTCTTTTCTTTAGACTAGTTGAAATAGGGGAGACATGATAGCAGTATTCCAGTATCTGATGGGCTGCCACAAAGAAGAGGTGGTCATGTTGTTCACCAGAGCACCAAAGGGAAGGATGAGAAACAATGGATGGAAGCTGATCAAAGAGAGAAGCAACCTGGAATTAAGGAGAAACCTCCTGACAGTGAGGACAATCAACCAGTGGAACTGCTTGCCACCAGAAATCGTGGGTGCTCCATCACTGGAGATTTTTAAGAAGAGGCTAGACAATCACCTGTCTGAGATGGTATAGGTCCTCCTGCTTGAGCAGGGGGCTGAATTAGAAGACCTCCATGGTCCCTTCCAGCTTCTATTCTATTCTATTCTATTCTATTCTATTCTATTCTATTCTATTCTATTCTATTCTATTCTATTCTATTGTTACAACAACACTGAAAAAAGTGACATGACCATTTTTCACACGTATGACCATTGCAGCATCCCCACCATCATGTGATCAAAATTCTGATGCTGGGCAACTGGTTCATATTTATGATGGTTGTGGTGTCTTTTTGTGATCTTCTGACAAGCAAACTCAATGGGGAAGTCAGATTCACATAACAACCGTGTTACCAACTTAACAACTGCAGTGGTTCACTTAACTGCTGTGGCAAGAAAGGTCATAAAACAGGCCAATACTCGCTTTACAACCGTCTCACTTAGCAACAGAAATTTTGAGCTCAGCTGAGGTTGTAATTTGAAGACTACCTGCACTTCCTCCTGTGAGCACTTGAGGATTTTTCTTATGAAGAGAAAAAAAAATCTAATACCCAGCTACCCAATATACTTTCAAAAACAAGAACTATCTCCACCTAAATGGACCATGAAATTTATGATCCAATAGTCCATGACAAAAACTGGAGAAAAATCTGCTGGAGCACAAATCTACTCTGCAGAACCACAGTAAATCATGTTAGAGTTATACCAGTCTGCAAAGCCCTTGCATTTCATCTATGACTTCACAGATAGGCAGAAATCTGCAAGACTGCTATTTCCGCTGTACTCCAAAATCTACCTGTAACATGACCACGTGGATCCCAGGACTGATCGCTGCTTCCCATACTTTATATAATCATAAAATGTAGTCATATTAAAAGTGGTCCTCGTCTTACAGCCATATAATTCTTCCATTTACCCCTGTGTGAGATTAACTTGGTCTTCAGCATAAGCAAAAGGATGCGCAGTGGTGGGATCCAAATATGTGAAAAACAAATTCTCTGTATGGATGCTGCTTCCGGAAGTCCATTCTGGGTCTGGGCAACAAAAAATTAGCCAGTAGTTCTGCCGAAGTGGTACAAACTGGCTGAATCCCACCAGTGGATGTGGGCCACTATTGCATCCGGAGTGTGTAAGAAGGTCACATAGCTCACACATAATTTCCCCCCCAACATTCTACCAGTGCAACCCATTCCTTTAGTTCTGTGGCTTTTGGCAGGATGTGCTCCATATCCAATGATAGTGCTGGCCCTGGAAGCAGAAGGATTACGTTTGCCTTTGAATTACAATAGGTAACATACTAAACATTCCTTGCTTATTATATTTAGGCATGTTGCCCACTTCTATATTTAATGAAGAGACTGAGGGTAACTGTAACATGAATCACAGAAGTGTAGAGCTAAAAGCACTAAAGTCAGTCTCACACTGGGCTGGAATATTATTTTCAGATTTCTTAGACTCTCCCAGAAACCTAATTTTCTGATTAGGGCTGTTATGCAATTTATAAAACCTTAGTAAAGTAATAGGAGTTTTACTTGGATGATGAAGTCATTGGTTTAATCTCCTTATATCTCCATCAGAGAAAAACATATAGTTTCAAGGGAAGACGTTTTAGATGACATGCTCTTACTGGAATATTATTATATTCTTATAATCAAGAAGAACACATATAAAATTACCATTTTTCACTCACTGTGTGACACTTCATATCATCAAAGGGGATATAGTTGGGGATGAACGATTTGTTATGATGGAAAAGAGCTGAGATCTTGATGTTGCCTACCAACCATTAATATCTGGTTACATTAGCAGATGCTCACTGTCTTTCATATATATATATATATATATATATGATATATATATATCCAAGGGAGACAATTCAAGCCATGTTTAACTCATGGATCTAAGGATGAAATTTTCTTAGCAATCACAGGGAAGTGGTCTGCTTTCTTCTAGGAATCTTTTTAACTAATTTATCCCATAGCCCTTGGTTTCTCAAATGATCTTCTATCTATCCAATGCCACTTCTGGTTGAGATTATTTATTTATTGATTGATTATGTGCCATCAAGTCAGTGTATGTGGCCAAACTGATGACAACAGCTACACCATCCTTAGAACTGGCAATGAAAATATTAAAATTTAGGTAGCTTCTGCTTTTTAGGATCAACTATTAACAATGAGGGAACAAACCCTCCAAACGTATTGTTGCACTTGGTAAAGCACCTATGAAGGCCTTGGAAAAACTATTCAGATAATGTAAAATATCTATACCTACAGAGATCAGAATCATGGAAGCAGTGCTCCCTGTGACACGCTATGTAAGTGAAACTTGGACTTTGAAGGAAGAGCATAGAAATAGTATCGATGCATGTGAATTGGAGAAAACTCCTGGAAATACAATGGACAGCTAAGAAAACAAAGAAATGGATCATTGAACAAATCAACCCAGAATTCTTAATCAAGGCATAAATGATCAAGCTCAAATTATTATAGTTTGGACCTATTTCCATTTCCATCAATATGTGGACTTTGCAACCAGAGGGGGCAATACACTGGATCTTGCTTATTCCAACATCAAGAAGGCATTCAAAGCTCTACCCCGCCCTCACCTGGGCCCCTCTGACCATCTCTCAGTGCTGCTTATTCCAACATATAAACCTTTATTAGTCAGAGTGAAATCTATAGTAAAGCAGGTGAGGGTTTGGGCAGAGAGAGCTATAAAAGCATTACAAGACTGCTTTGAGTGCACGGATTGGGATATCTTTAAAAAAATAGCAACTGATAACCAACATATAAACGTTGAGGAGTATGCCACCACGGTGTCTTCATATATCCAAAAGTCCATAGAGGATGTCTGTGTCCTTAAAAGCATTGTTATGAGGGCGAATGAAAAACCGTGACTGACTTATGAGGTCTGCAAGATGCTGAAAGCACAGAATGTGGCTTTTAAATCCGGTGATATGCTGGCACTTAGAACAGCCAGAGCTAATTTGAAAAGTGCCATAAAAGGTGCAAAGCCAGCCCATTGCCAGAAAATTCAGAACTTTTTTCAGAATCCAACAAACATCAGGCAAATGTGGCAAGGAATCCAGGCCATTACGGATTATAAGGCGGCTCCATTGAGATGCAAGGACAACAGACTTCCTAAACGAGCTGAATATATTTTTTGGAAGATTTGAGGCATCAAATAGTACTCCTGACGAGCAAGTGCTTAGCTTTGATATCACTTCTGCAGAAAGTATGCTGTTGGCAGACTTGAATCAGAGCCCTGGTGGTTAAGGTGCAGTATTGCAGGCAAACTCTGCCAACAGCTTGGAGTTTGATCCCGATGGGGCTCAAGGCTGACTCAGCCTTCCATCCTCCCAAGGTCGGTAAAATAAGGACCCAGATTGTTGGGGGCAATATGCAAAACATTGTAAACTGTCCAGAGAATGCCGTCAAGTACTGTGGGAAGGTATATAAGCCTAAATGCTATTGCTATTAGGGACAGAACATCATGAAGAAAATCTATGTGGTTGCTAAGTGTCAACACTGATAGGTAGGCAGACAGACAGACAGATTATAGCAGTGGTTCTCAACCTTTTTAATGCCGTGACCCCAACCGGTCGTAAGTCGAGGACTAAACCGGTCGTAAGTCGAGGACTAAACCGGTCGTAAGTCGAGGACTAAACCGGTTGTAAGTCGAGGACTACCCAACCGGTCGTAAGTCGAGGACTTTCCCTGCCCGGGAGCGCCGCACATGCATGGTTCTGCCCCCTGCGCCGGCTGAGGCGTAGCTGGCAAGCGGCAGAGATGGAGCAGGCCAACCACCAGCTGGCCCAGCCCAAGGGCGGTAAGGCACCCGCTGGAAAAGGGGAAAAAATGGCGGACAAAAAAAATGGCGGACAAAAAAAATGGCGGACAGCCTTGCTTGGCGACCCCCATGAAATGGTCGATCGACCCCAAATGGGGTCCCGACCCACAGGTTGAGAACCACTGGATTATAGGATAATTATACATTAGCGTATTTCTACTTTTAAATGTTGCCTCAATGGCTACCCAATCCTTGATCCCATTTATAAGAAGTGTGTTTTTCTCCACACCACATCTCGACAGGACTAAAACCACACTGGAAGTCAAGAGAAGTAGAAAACGGGACGGAGGAACAGATGCAAAGAAGACCCATTGCTCATTCCTAGATCCATAGAAACATAAATGCTTCCTGCACTTCTATTTTATTTCATGTGAGCCTTCAGTTCTGTTCATTTTAGTTAA